GAACCACCATGTTTCTACAGTAGCCCAGAACGGACAAACCAAACACTGGCTCTAGATAGGGCCTTTGGCATTTTTTGCGGCCACCGTAGTTTCTCCTAAACGCTTGGAAGGCCGAGCTGCTTTCAGTTGGTTGCAGTCTACAACCTCATAACTAGATGCTACTAAGTCCTACACACTGGTCCTTTAAAACAGGGTTTGTCCTCAGAGATGCAGCCTGTGAGAGAACACTCCTCACCTTTCATATTATTGCTTATTACAACTCACCACTGGTGTGATGGTGCTCCCAAATGTCACTGAGCCCTGTCACTCGTTCTGTAACATCCTGTCATATCTGAATGAAGCCTGAATAGAGTAACAGACACCTTCTGTATGTGGAGAGGTTGCTGTGATGTGTCATTGTCCTTCCGAGTGAAAGTGTGCATTGGTGATATAGTTTGTTGGGCTGAGGGTTATTGGCGAAGGAATGAAGATCGTACGGCCACATACGGGGTCTTTGACGCGGATCAAGTATCTGTACGTATATTTACGATGTTGTAAACAAGCCGATATTGTGATTTAAAAAATAATAATTTCATAGTACTAAGAACACACCACAAAATATATAAAATTGAGGTAAAATATATATATACTATATAGACACACACACACACATATATGTATATATATATATATATATATATATATATATTTTGATAGGGGCGTAATCTCAAAAACACTATCAATTTTTGTGATTTAACCCCTAACTACTAGACAGCAGTGTTATGAATATAGAGCTATCTTGTTGGATGTTACAGGAACTTTTTGCTCAATTTTTATGCATTGTGTGCAGTTTTCCCTTAAATTAGGTCAAAATAAATCCCAATATATCGCCTTACTTACAGTATTGCAATATATTGAATCGTTAACCATGTTTCGACTTGGATACTGCATGTGAGCAGTTGTACGCTCTAAAATCGTATACGTTCATTTAACTCAAAAGAAATTTGAAACAGATAACTTTGGATGTTGTAAGTAACCAAAACAAAATTTTGGAAATTAAAAAAAGATTCTGGATAAAGCAGCTTTTACCAGTAATTTTAAGTGACGTTCAAAAAACATCCCTGATTAAGTACTCTTTACTAGGTATTTTGTACCCTTGTGTCCCTTAAAATAACTGAAGCTACTTGATCAAGAATGTTTTTTTTAACTTACAAAATTAAGTTAGTTTTACTCGATGTAATCCTTTTGAACAATTTTTGGAGTTAAATGAACTTTTTTTTCTTTTATTTGGATTCTGCAGTAAGCCAGTTTAAAAACTTTGATTAAGTTTTCCATGTGTTGAGCTCTGTGTGGACTGCTTTTACACTTACTATACATTCTGTCACTCACTCTTATTCATCCCATCAGTTGACATGTAACTGCATGTTTAACCATTTAAGTGTGTCCTTGTAATCAGAGCTATGAGCTCACCAAAGAAGAGAGGGCAAAAACAAAAATTTGTACTCATGTATACAAACAGTGTAAATATGACAATAAATGATATTTTCAACAGTTTCATTGTATGGTGTAGTTTCATCTATTATTTTCTGCTTTAGTCATAGTGAGATAAAGCTCTCTGCTGCTTTTGAAAAGACGATTAATACAAACTGATACGAACTGTGAAATCATTTCATTGTGGCAAGCACGAATATCTAACAAATCAACCCTACACTCTTTTAAATACACTGAAATAGTAATTTAAGTGACACATTTTTTTTATAAATTTACATGTCTAATGTAAAATTATGTGAAAATCTGTTACTGTAAATCATAAAATTAGTGCTTGTTTAAAGACAGTTTCCTTTTTTTCACATAAAAAGTTAAAACATTTGCAAATCTATAATTTTTTCACATATTTACTGTTTATTTAATAGATTGTGATGTAATTTTGCATGGATTTGTTTGTTAATTGACAGATATCTTGTATAATGAGGTTTTATTAATTAAGTTTTCACAACAAAAATTGAAATGTTTTTTTATCAGTGTATAAGCAATGGTAAACTGTCAAAATACAGTTTTTAATTACTGAAAACATCAACACGCAGTTCTATAACTTAAAATTCAGATTAAAATAAAAATCAAATAATACCAGCACTCTTCTGTAAATTTAAACATTATTTAGCCTGTTAATAGCCTGTATTTATAGGTCATTTTCTTGTTTTTACTCGTGTAAATATCTTTAAATAAACATTAAAAAGCCAAAAAGTTACACAAGATTTGATGTAAAATGAAAGCTAAAAACAGTATTTTAATAATAATAATTCATAATTAGATAATTGCTGTATTTTACGTTATTATTTTTCTTACTGTTATCGTTCTTTTTTGGGTTAGCTGCTGGATTATTACAGTTTTTTTTTACTCTTGTTTTTTACAGTGTATTTGAGATAATAATTCTTACTGTGTCAGAGCGTCCTTTGTGTCAGCTAAACACCTCCCTCCTCTTTCTAGGGCCAGAGATATGTGACAAACACGAGCAGCCCTCAGAGCGAGGAGGAAAAGATGGATGGAGTGCAAGGTATGGACCCGTTCTCCTGTCACACCGCCATCCAACCACTGCAACCTGCACCAAGCAACCTCACACACTCACTTTCCAGGCCGCAGTGGGGGCGCTTTATTTTCCCTGTTTCAGTCATTTTGCCAAACTGCACAGAGCATGTCCATGTTTACCTCCTCAGCTGTTCTGTGACCCAGAAAACACTCAGACCAACAGTGTGTGTTAGTCCGTCTCTCAATACTTGTGTCTCCGAGCCCATTGGTTCCTACTCAAGACAAAAATCTTTCAAAACACCTTACAAATATATAGTTCCTTTAAAAAAGAAAAGCTCTCCTAAAACACCTGGGGCTCGCCAAAGCTTCATAGGGGGTTGCAAGGCCTGCTTGGTTTTAAGGTGTGCTAGAAAACTTTCAGATAATAAAAAATATATATATATAAAATATTTGCACAGTACACAGTAGGCCTATATCTCAACATTTCATTCATTTCTGTTAAGAAAACGAAATGTAACTATTAGTTATAAAGTTTAGATTACGCTTTGAAACCACGTAAGTTCATTTAACTCAAAAAATTTTGAAACTCATCCTGAACTGAAAAATGCTTAATATCACCAGATTTCTAGTCTAACCAACTGATCTAACGATGTGCAGCATGTCTGTATTGACAAAAGTTTAAACATTTATCTGTGTAAGCGATCCAAGCTGCTTAGAACTCGCTCAAGCGGGCGACCCAGTGGGTTATATGAGGTTTTGTACATCTAAAAAACCTAAGAGACCTGCCTCTAATTGAAAAATCAATTTAAATATAAATAAATTCTAGATGTCATTATTGTGCATCATTTTATCTCTTTTTCATGTAATTCAGATATTTATGATAATGAACAGTGGTGGGCCTGCCAAAGGGTCCATGAGAGTAACAAACATTAACTCTCCGTTTGCTGATTGATTTTTTACAGTACCATCAGCCTTTAGTTCCACTTTAGTTTTTAATGAAAATCAACCTGCAGAGACTGGAACCTTAGCATTTATACTGTAGGTCATCTTCTCATCAAATGTCAGTGCTGTAGCAGGAACTACTATACTAACATCCACACTTTCTTACTCAGGAACAATGAACAAGATCTCTTCAAAATGCCCATGTATTAATGTTTTGTAGTTTGATTTTATGACACCATTTCTCACATTGTTTTCTAACTCTGTTGTCTTTGCTGTTGGGTCATTCGGTGAACCCCCAGAGGAACACAGTCCCTCCCAAACGCTGCTGGAATGGCAGGAGAGCGGCGGGACAGAAGATATGGAGCAGCCATCATGCTCCACATATGCACCAGAATCTGTGGCAGGAAACTCATCATTTAACCAAATAGGGACAAACCCCGCCTCAGTTTTCCCTGTGGATTCTAAACAGCCGCAGTGCGCCATGGAGCAGGCGAGGTCCACGTCTAAGCTTGACGTTGTTGTTGCAACCAACTCGCTTCCACATGCGGTGGAGGACGGCTGCGGCAGGGCGTTGCTGTCCGGACTAAGTGGAGAGGACGGAGCTGAGGAAGTGACGCCTCTAATAGGTCAGGGCAACAGCAGCCCGAGGTCGCAGTATGGGCCGCTGCTGTGCATTCAGATCAACGAGACGCCCAATGAAGTGTTGTTTGACGGCAGGACAGCCTACAGTAATCACATCTCTACCTTTAACAACCCCCCTGTTACAATGGCAACAGTGGATTCCCAGCAAACCCAGCATTCTTGGTCCGGAATCCGGGACTTAGATAGCATCCACTTCTCCAGTCAGAACCACCTTTATCAAGCATCTAGCAGCGAGAACCCAGAGTCTGGGTCAGCACAGTCTCAGCAGCCCTGCCTCCCCTACGCCTGCACCTTCTGTTCTCGCCGTTACGCCCACCAGTGCCAGCTGCGCATCCACGAGCGTGTCCACACGGGCGAGAAGCCCTACCAGTGTGTCCAGTGCGGGAAGAGCTTCGGCCAGGTCTGCAGCCTCAAGCGCCACCAGATGGTGCACACTGGGGAGAGGCCGTTCCCCTGCCCCCACTGCGGGAAGCAGTTCTCCACCTCCACCAACCTAAAGGTCCACCAGAGTGTCCACACCGGGGAGAAGAGGTTCCACTGCTCCAAATGTGGCAAGAACTTCTCCTTCCTCAGCAACCTTATTAGGCACCAGGCCTTGCACACCACCAAGTAGAGCAAGTAATACAGGGACGCCACATCGACCCCCAAATGAACACAAGCAGCCTCCAAAAGACCACAACCTGCCATGGCTCTTTTATGACATTAAACGGTTCATATTATTGTGAGTAGATAAGGTATGTCTGGTCTTCATTTCAGTAGCATTTGGTCAGTGTCCTTAAGCATTTTACATTTAGTGCTGTTCTTTGGATTCACTGTGGTAAGTTTTAGATAGCATTCTGACAGTCTACGTTAGTCTTCTTGAATCAGCTTTAGGTCTTAAAGGATTTGTTGAAAAATGAGCCATGTATTCTGCGTGCATTTAAGGTAACTCAAACAGAACGTCTCCTCTGTCCTCACGGGCACGGGTCATGTTAACAGCTCTCTTTGCTTTGAGGTTGTGTAAATTTAACTTACATTTGCTTACCTTGTTGCCTCCAGGAAAAGCAACTGTTTACACAAAAACAGAACAGATGAGGTCACACTGAGACCCAGTGAATGTAATACAGTTCTTATATACGGAGGATCATTTCGGCAAGAAATCAAATTAAAAAGAAACGGGGTAAAAACAATAGAGCAGTGAATAAATGAATATTGCACCAAAAGGAAAAAGAATACTAAAAGATACAAATAGATACTGGTATTGGGTTGCTGCAGTATCTACTTCAGCTTATCTACAGTATTGATTTCTACTGTGTTGGTGTTATTGAAATAATCTAGGACATAATATTTTGTGAAATTATAATAAAGCATTTGTTCAAAAAACAGCCAATGTGTAACACAATATAATGTTAAACTGTGAAACTGATATTTACTGAGACTGTGAAAATGTCATACCATAGCAACCCTAATAATGAATATAATAAAATGGTCATTTGGAAAGTCAAATGGAAAAAACATGAAATAGAAAGAAAATACAAATGCAATGTTAAAGCAGCATTAACTGCTGTTTGTCTACTTGGGGGCAGCAGAAACAAACTTGTGAATACGACATCATCAGCATTTAAGCTAACATGTTAGCAAACAGTTGCGTATTTCCACATCCAGCTAACACAGAGCAACTTTAGCATTCGTTGGAGTTGTGTTTGTGTCCACCTGATGAATGTAAGTCCAGTAGTCATTGTATTTTAGTTCTTGTTTCGGCCTCCTGAAAAAATATCTGGATCTTCAGCTGCTCCATTATGTTCACCAGCTAACTGTGACTGTGTGCTGGTTGCTGCTGATCAGGCAGCGTACACAGGGTTAATCAGAGCTTTTTCACTGAAAATAGCAGGATGGAAACAATGAAGCTCTGTAAAGCTGCAGTTATGTGACCCATTGTTAATATAAAAATATTGGTATGATGCAGTTTAACATTTAAATTCAAGTTGGAAAAGGAAAAAAAAAAATCTGGGTAAAGCTAGAAAACTTCAGTGTCAAACTGTCCACACTGTCCATGTTGTTTGGGCAGCAGAGGGGTACTGGAAGTGTTGGTCCAACAGGAGTCGTGACAACTTGGATGTCAGCTTGCACTTCAACCATTCCTCATCCACCTCTCATCATCGTCACACAGACCTAATACTGACCAGTAACAGGGCCAACCCAGACCCACTGCGGCCAGGTTTGGGGCTGTTCCCTCGAGACTCCGGTGATCAAAATTAGGACTGGCAACTTGACTTGGACTTGCCCTTCAAGGACTGAGTGCAGAAACAATCTATATGGGACAGGCATGTACTTCCTTTTGCACAAAACTCTTGCAAAAACAATCAGAAAACATCTTTAAGTCAAGACACTGAAGACACTCAAGACAAGTAGTTTTGATTTCCAGATGTCCATTCAGTATCAGCATCTGCTGTCAGGCAGTACTGCTAAAATCAAATAGTGAAAGCAAACTCAGAAAACATTATCAAATAAAATATGATTCAAATAATAATTTTACAAGAACTCTCATTCTACAGCCAGTAATTAGGGTTAGGGTCATGTCTTAGCAGCCTGGGCAAAGTTTCCATTCTACACTGAGAAAATGACACAAACATTTAATTGTTATTAAATGAATGCAATACTTTTAGGATCACTATTTTCCAAATACATTTTGGAAAAGAACCGTAAACAAGACATTCTTTTTGGTGAGTGGATGTGTAATTCACAGGACTCATGGACTTATTTTCGTTTTGAAATTAGGAAACGAAAATCGGGAAACAAGACGTTTCACATGTTTTTGTTTTGAAAATAAAAAGCAGGGAAAAAAATGTCTATAATATATTTATAAATGACAGCTGGAAAACAGCTAATTTCTGGATTTAGTTTATTTATTTTGATTTTATTTAAATTTGAAAATCCGTCTTTACTCTGGTAATTACGGTAGAAGAAGAAACGACCTTGCGCCACACCCGGAAGTAAACAAACAGCGTTTTCATTGAGAAGAACCGTTATTAGAACGGCAGTCGTTGCGCAGAATGACTTACTGTCTGCTCTCACGGGTCTCCGGTGGGGCCACATAAGGTTGCTTTAATTTCCAACAAACGATTGGACTAACTTTAATTCTGTTGGGAGAACCGTCGAGGTGAGGCCGCACCGCACCGTTAGAACAGGATGGAGAGTTATGTGGATTTCCACTCTCAGCTGGCGTCCATCATGGAGGTCCTAGCTAACGCGGCGGTGGCTGAGATCTGTCAGCTCGTGGACTACGGCTTCGCCACCCTGAGGCTGGAGATATCCCGCAGCCAGAGGGAGAACCAGGTCCTGAAGAGCAGACTGCGGCTGCTGGAGGTCCGTTCAGGAGAGCAGCCCCACAGAGAGCCCACCCCCCCGCCTCTGGTGGTGACCTGTGCCAGGAAAGGTTAGCCCGCTCCGCCAGCTTTTAACCCACCAGGGTCCACTCAAAAATATGACATTTTAACAGCATAACGTTATAGGTTCTTACTGCAGACTAACTGCTGACTCTGCATGATGATGCACAGTTTGATGTTAAGAGAACTTTTTATTGTTATGATGACATATTTACTTAAAGCTGCAGTAGGTCCTCTGGCTCCTCCCAGTGCTGCTAACGGCATTTGTTAGAATCCACCGGGCCTGAACAAAAACAACCAATCAGAGCCAAGAAAGATGCTTTGGGTTGGAGGCTTGAAGATAGATAGAAGTACTATGAACGTAAAGCATGACAATCAGAAGCCAGAACTATACTCCTCATGTGATGTATTTATACATTATTCATTATTATTCTCATATTATTTTATATCTAATGAATACATTTAAAGATAGAAAGTGCTCTGTGTGTTCTGCAGAAGGGGTAGAGTAGCGAGGGGTTACCCAGACTGAACAGAGACAGCATGGACAACCCTGGTAAAAACTGTTCTGGAAAACCCAATGACAGTCCTACATGGCAAACTGTGGAACACAGAACATATTCTAACAAACTCCAGTGATTTTACTTTGAACAGATCTTCACTTAGGAGAAGACGGTCTTGTCATCAGCAAAAAAAAAGTCACTCTGGAGAACGCTCAGCGGTCACAGGTCAGTGCTGCTGTCACTGCAACAGTCAGCTTCTCTTCTCCTCTCCCACCTTAGCATATCATACAACTGACAAAGGTGAGAAATCCATGCTCACGTGTAACCAGAGGAAGTAAAGATTATTATCATATCATAGATTGTATTAAGATTACGTCAAAGGGGCATTGAAAGAAGTGTGCGTGTGATTTAATGAATGAAAAACAGACGGAAAGCATCAGCAACAGTCTCGGCTGCTCATTACTTAGCCAGTACGTATCAGATTTGTAGCTTGGCAGCAGTAATAACTTTACATGAATGTTTTCTGTCTGTCAGCTGTTGGAGCCGGAGCTGGTGGTGCTGATAAAGAAGGAACGGCTGGAGGAGGAGCTGCCAGGCTGCAGTGTGCTGGAAGACCGTCAGACAGTTCCTAACAGCAGCAGTATGTATGAATGCCAAACACCAAAAAGAGAGACAGAATTTACATACAGCTCACTACAGCCTCTTTCAAACATGCACTTTATGTGCTGCCAGTCTGCTGCCCCAGAGTCAGACCTGGTAAGATCTCTGGCATGAGTATGAAGTTATTATTTAAATGCTTTTATTATGAATCAGCGAAATTAGGAAGCTAGAAACGTACTGAGAGCTGAACAAAGCCCAACATGACTCCTCTATATCTTTACAAAGCACAGAGTTGTGTGCTACTATACTAATGTTTGAAGAAACACACCATGACCACCCATGGTTCAATAAAAATCTGTCTTCTCTCTGTACATTCTTCAGTTGGACGTCCGTCTCTCTCCCTTGCTGCTGAGGGCGACCGCCCTCTGAGTGCTGAAGCAGAGACCCCCAGAGTCAGCACGTCGGGTCAGGATGAAAAACAGGACTTTGACAGACCTGAAGCTCAGCAGCAGGATGAGAACGAGGGAGTGGCGGAGGGTCGGTACTCTCATCCAGCAGACCAGAGGGGTTCTGGTCCAAACAGAGCTGGGGAAATGATGGACTCGATCATAGGAGGCGAAAGACAGGTTGTGGATGCCAGTAACTCTCTGTCTGATCCCGATGTGGAGACTCCAATGATCAAGACCCTGGATTCAGAGCTGTCACTGACAGCAGGAGTGAAGGGTTTGTGCGGTGCTGTGGCAGACTGGAGGGGAGAGGCAACAAAAGTCAAACCGGAGACGGAACCTTCCTGGTCTGAAGCACTCAGGACCCATAATCCTTTAGTCGCTGGAACAGAGTGTGTGAGTAACTCTAACAGTCAGCACACAGAGAGTGGACCAGCAGATCTGGACACCAGCAGCCTGGACTCTTCCTCCTTCGATGACCTGTTCTCCTCCCCAGAGGTGGCCAGGTCCCTGACAGCTTCCCTTAGACACTCTGCGGACGGAGTCACAGGCGTAGAGGAGCCGCTATCATCCTCGTCTTTTCCTTTCCTGAGCAGTGGGAGCAGCTTCGGGAGCTCTTCGGCGTCGGACTCTCTAACCGCCTTCAGCAGCGCCTCCTCTGACTGTAGGAGCTGCCAGCAGTGCGGCCGGCACTTCTCCACCTCCAGGGACCTGGCGGTGCACCAGCGCTGCCACGCCGGGGAGAGGATCTACCACTGCCACCTCTGCAAGAAGCCCTTCATCCACCCGCACCAGCTGAAAACCCACCAGCGGGTGCACACCGGGGAGAAACCTTTCAGCTGCGCTCAGTGTGGCAAGCGCTTCTCCCAGTCTAGCCACATCAAGAGACACATGAGCGTCCATACGGGGGAGAAGCGCTACAGCTGCGGCCTGTGCGGGAAGCGTTTCTCGCAGGCCTGCAGCCTCAAGGTGCACCAGGCCGTGCACACCGGAGAGAGACCCTACAGCTGCACCAAGTGCGGCAAAAGCTTCTCCGTGCTGGGAAACCTGGTCCGCCACCAGAGCGTTCACATCAGCAAGTGAACACAGAGAAAGAAACAGAGGGGGCTGAAGTGAGGCAGACATGTCGTCATGTGCATATGAAGTCAGTAGGGCTCACTCTATTGTCTGTCAGAAAGTGTTTATCAGACTGAATGTCATCCTGTGCTGTTGTCATTTATACACCTTCGTGTTTACAATAAAAAAAACAGCATTAGATCCAATCTTACTTCTTCTTAACGATGATTCTCAACTGCATATAAGTGAGAAACAGCGCAAACTGTTGCTGAGCGGCCTCACAGCTGCCAAAAAA